TGGTGAGATGTGGGAGCTGGGGAGGCCTGCTCGGTAGAAGCGGGTGACCTTAGCTCCGGTCTGACTCCTCGTTAGGGAGCACAATACCCCAGAGACCTGCTTGGGCAGCCCCAGCCTCAGAAGATAGTGACAGAGGAGGAGAACGAGGCCAGGGAGGTTTGGTAACATGTCCAAGGTCACACACTGGACACATCTTCCCACACCAGTTCAGCACAGCAGGAGCCTGGGCACGCCTCCCCCCCGCCGCCCACCCCCGCTGGGGAACAAGGCAGACAGCCATGGAAGGGGCGCATCCGTGCTGCTGGTGCATGGTGCCTGTGGGCAGGAAGACCGGCGGAAACACCCTCTTCACACCGTCTTCGGGTATTCACCCTGGCTTTTGCTAGGCACTGACACTAAGTGTGACCCAGGCCCTTGCCTTCCAGGGCCCCAGGCTGGTGGGGAAGGGGGTGGAGAACAGCCCCTCCCAGCAAGCAGAGAGCCACGGAGTGCTCAGTGCAGGGCAGAGCAGCCGACCTCGGGAAGGTGAGACCAGGGTATTTAGCATGGGCTTTGAAGGATGCAGAGGAGTTTGCCAGACATAAGGAGTGGGATGGAGAACATGGCCCAAGCAAAAACAATTCACTCAGCCAGTAAATAATTGAGTAGGTGCAACTGAATAGCCCGGTGCTGGGCTCCGTGTGTCAGGAACACAAGGCTTTGGGGTAAAGATGTTACACAAGTGCACCCTCTTAGCAGAGGAGCATGAAGACCATTAAGTGCCTCAGTTTGTTTTAGGTCACTTCACACACCATTGACCACAGGCGTTGGCAGCACTGTCTGCAAGGACCAAGGAGAGTGGTTGCCCGTAGAACGTTCGGATCTTTCAGGACATGGGCGTCTGGCCTGTAGAGACAGCAGCGCAGGGTTGCAGTGCCCGGAGTTGGTCTGCAGTACATGCACCTGAGAGAATGTGCAGCAGGAGACGCAGCAGGCAGCAGCCAGCTGGGTCAGAGTTAACCGGGAAAGGCCCTTGTGTAAGATGCTTCCCCTCACGTGGGCCCATTCACTGGAAAAGAAAACAGCCTTTATCAGCAGGCAGATAGGATGTTAATAGGCTTCCCTTTACCAAGAGATTACGGGATCTGTTGAGAAACTAGCCTCCCGTCTGTATGAACACTTCCCTCGTCCTGCCAATGGAGCACCCCGCTGTGGCGGACCCCGCCACACACTGGCACGCCTGGTAGCCCTGGCCAGGAGCTGGCTGTGTGTGTGTCTGTGAGTGTGGCCCTGGCCAGGGAGCTGCCTGTGTGTGTGTCCGTGAGTGTGTGCCTGGCCAGGAGCTGGCTGTGTGTGTGTCTGTGAGTGTGTGCCTGGCCAGGGAGCTGCCTGCATGTGTCCATGAGTGTGGCCCTGGCCAGGGAGCTGCCTGCGTGTGTCCATGAGTGTGGCCCTGGCCAGGAGCTGCCTGCGTGTGTGTCCGTGAGTGTGGCCCTGGCCAGGGGGCTGCCTGCGTGTGTGTGTCCATGAGCGTGTGGCGGGACGGCCCCGGACGCGGAGCGGCTACAGTGTGGTGCCCATGGGACGGGCCGCCTAGGACCCTGTGGCCCCAGGCTCGTGTTTCTGTTATTTGTTTACGCATTTAGCGATTTCCTTTGGCTGTGATGGTCAGAGTCGCGATGCGCGGGCTCGTCACTGCTGCAGGCGGGCTTTCTCTAGTTGCAGCGTCGGGGCTGCTTCCTGGTTGCGGTGCGCGGGCTTCTCATTGCAATGGCTTCTCTTGTTGCCTCAGTTGTTGCAGCTCAAGGGTTTAGTTGCCCCAAGGCATGTGGAATCTTCCCAGACCGGAGATCAAACCTGTGTGCCCTGCTTTGACAGCCGTATTCTTAGTCCCTGGACCACTAGGGAAGTCTGAGGTTCACGTTTCTTAGGTATTGCTGTTCGGTAAGTTATATTGCTGCATGGCATCCCCTGCCCCCATCCCCTTCACTTTAATTTTTGTCTAACAAGTGGTATAGAAATAGCGTGTGAAAAGATAAACACTTGCGTTTTTTGCTTTTTAAAAGGTATTTATTTGGCTGGGCTGGGTCTTAGTTGTGGCATGTGGGATCTAGCTACCTGACCAGGGATTGAATCCAGGCCTCCTGCATTGGGAATATGGAGTCTTAGCCACGGGACCCACCGGAGAAGTCGCAATGAATACTTGTTATTTGGAAAAAAAAAAAAAAAAGCCCATCCCAAACTGGCTGAACTGAAAAGGGGCTTTGTGGGCTCCAGGGAGAAAAAGTCCATGTGCTTCCTGTACTTTCCAGGTTCTTTTGGCCTGCTGGGCCCCAGGACACCCTCAGTCTGCTGGTGTCTGCCTCCCCCTGCTGACCTTGGCTTTGCGGTGACTGCCCTTGGCCTGACTTCCCCTCCCTGGAGAAAAGGGGCTTATCTAACACAGGGGACTCCCTCAAAAGTCCCAGTTTTGGGTCCAGCACCCCAAACCCAGGGGAGTGGGCTCTCGTGACCTGAGCAGGGTCGCCCTGGCGTCAAGGGGAGGGTCAGTGTCCCCTTCTCCAAGGGGATAGTGGGCGGAGTCGGTGGCTACCAGGCTGTAGCCTCCAGAAGAGGGCTGGTCGTCCAGGGCATCTGTGGCCCAACAGGAGCTTAAGCATCTCCCCAGACTGTCAGTCACTGTCGAAGTCATCGAGGTATATCCTCTGCAGGGGGGGAGGGGGTGAGCAGCAGTGAGAAGTGAGGTCACCCCCGCCCCCCAGATGCCGTCAGAGCACCCTGGGAGTTAGGAACATGACTCTCAGGCTCAGACTCAGTTGGCCTGGGAGGGGCCAAGAAGGTTTCTGTTTTGTTTTATGGTTTTAAAGTTTTTTATTGCACTGTAATTTACACACAGTAAAGTGAATAACCCATAAATATACAACTCAGAAATTATTACATCCATTCACACTTGAAACCTGATCAAGATACAGAGCATTTCAAGCCCCCCAGCTGGCCTCACAACCCTTTCTTGTCTTACCCACCAAAGGTAACTCCATCTGATCCTAACATCACAGATGCATTTTGTCTATGCTGCAATTTCTTGTTTAATTGTGTTAACAACAATTGTGTACAACGTAAAATATGGCTTCCCAGGTAGCTCAATGATAATCCTCCCACCAATGCAGGAGATGCTGGTTCAATCCCTGGGTCAGGAAGATCTGCTGGAGGAGGAAAGAGCAACCCACTCTAGTATTCTTGCCTGGGAAATTCCATGAACAGAGGAGCCTTGCAGGCTACAGTCCATGGGGTCACAAAGAGAGACGACTGAGCATTCATACACACACAACATAAAATATACCATCTTAACATTTTTTTAGTATACAGTCCAGTAGCATTAAGTACATTCACACTGCTGTGCAACCGTAACCACCATCCATCTCTAGACCTTTTCCATCTTCCCAGACTGAAACTCTGGCCCCATTAGACACTAACTGCCCTCCCCTCCCCCAGGCCCTGAGTCCATGCGAAGTCTCTTCAGTCGTCTTTGACTCTTTGTGACCTTGTGGACTGTGGCCCACCAGGCTCCTCTGTTCAAGGGATTCTCCAGGCAAGAATACTGGAGTGGGTTGCCATTTCCCACCCTCTCCATGGTGCCGCCTCCCCAGAGCATATACATGGCAACCACCCAGTTAATCTGACTCAAAATAACCTAGTAGGGGAGGAGAGGATCACAAAAAACTGTGGAAAATTCTTAAAGAGATGGGAGTACCAGACCACCTTCCCTGTCTCCTGAGAAATCTGTGTGCGGGTCAAGAAGCAACAGACAGAACCGGACATGGTGCAACGCCTGTTTCCAAATTGGGAAGGGAGTACATCAAGGTTGTATATTGTCACCCTGCTTATTTAAGTTATATGCAGAGTACATCATGCAAAATGCAGGGCTGGATGAAGCACAAGCTGGACTCAAGATTGCCAGGGGAAATACCAATAACCTCAGATGTGCTGATGACACCACCCTTATAGCAGAAAGCAAAGAGGAACCAAAGAGCCCCTTGAAGAAAGTGAAGGAGGAGAGTGAAAAGGCTGGCTTAAAACTCAACATGCAAGAAACTAAGATCATGGCATCCAGTCCGAACACTTCATGGCAAATAGATAGGGAAACAATGGAAACAGTGACAGACTTTATTTTGGGGGGCTCCAAAATCATTGCAGATGGTGACTGCAGCCATGAGATTAAAAGACACTTGCTCCTTGGAAGAAAAGCTATGACCAATCTAGACAGGATGTTAAAAAGCAGAGACGTTACTTTGCTGACAAAAATCCATCTACTCAAAGCTATGATTTTTCCAGTGGTCATGTATGGATGTGAGAGTTGGACCATAAAGAAAGCTGAGCACTGAAGAATTGATGCTTTTGAGCTGTGGTGTTGGAAGAGACTCTTGGGAGTCCCTTGGACTGCAGGGAGATCAAACCTAAAGGAAATCAATCCTAAACATTCATTGGAAGGACTGATGCTGAAGCTGAAGCTCCAATACTTTGGCCACCTGATGCAAAGAGCTGACTCATTGGAAAAGACCCTGATGCTGGGAAGGATTGAAGTTGGGAGGAGAGGGGGACAAAAGAGGATGAGATGGTTGGATGTCATCACCAACTCGATGGACGTGAGTTTGAGCAAGCTCCGGGACCTGGTGATGGACAGGGAAGCCTGGTGTGCTGCAGTCCATGGGATCACAAAGAGTCAGACACGACTGAGCGACTGAACTTAGGGGAGAAGAGTGTTGGTGAGGAAAGGGAGGTCTGAGGTGTGACCAGGCTCCTGCCATCCTGGAAGAGCCACTGAAAGTGCTTCTCTGATGGGTCAGAGCAGGGCCTCCCAGGGCAGATGGAGTGGGGGGCTGTTCTGTTTTTTTTTTTTTTAAGTGTGTTGTTTTTAATTGTGTTTATTTAATTTTCGGCTACACCGAGTCTTCAGTGCTGTGTGCGGGCTTTCTCTGGCTGCAGTGGATGGGGGCTACTCTCGGTTGCGATGTGCAGGCTTCTCACTGGGGTGTCTTGCTACAGAGCACAGGCTGTAGGCACACAGGCTCATCTGCTCTGCAGCGTGTGGGATCTTCCTGGACCAGGAACTGAACCTGTGTCCCTTGCATTGGCAGGCAGATTCTTAGCCACTGTGCCACCAGGAAAGTACCAGCTGGGTTTTTTTTTGTGTGTGTAAAGACACATAACTTAAAATTTACCATTTTACCTTTTGGGGTTTTTTTTTTGTTTGTTTTTTGGCTGTTCTTCACAGCATGCAGGCTCTTAGCTCCCTGACCAGGATTGAAGCCATGCCTCCTGCAGTGGAATCTCAGAGTCCTAAGCACCGCACCGATAGGGAATCCTCCCATTCTACCCAGTTCAGTGGCATGTGGTGCGGTCACAGTGTTGTGCTACTACCGCTTCAAAAGAACCTCTTTGTCACCTGAAAAGGAAGCCTGTTCCCCGTCCCCCAGCCTCTGAGGCTGCCACGCTGCTTTCTGTGTCTGTGGGTCTGCATGCTGTGGACACTTCGTACATGTATATGGAGTCTCATGACATGCGGCCCTTTGTGTCTGCCCTCTTGCCCTTGGCATCAGGGCAAGAGGTAGCACATGTCAGTGCTTCATTCTCGTTTTTTCCCGAGAGGAACTCATTCCTTTTTATGGCTGAGTAATAATAATTTAGCGATTGCAACTAGTGCTGCTCTGAACACGGTGTGCAAGGATTTGCTTGAACATCTGTTTTCAGCTCTTTGGAGTGGGAGTAGAATCTTGGGGTCACATGGTAACTCCGTGTTCAAGTAGCTGGGGAGCCTCCAGACTGATTTCCACAGCGATACTCCTATCGCACATTCTGGAGCATGAGGATTCCAGGTCCTTCGGGCAAGTTCAGGCAGACGTCAGCAGGATGAAGTTGGGGGGACGTGGTTCTCTGCATTCCGGCTAGCTCACCCCAGGCTTGGCCAAGCCCAGCTCACCGGCCAGAGAGCCCAGGCCCCCAGGAATAAGGGCACTGCCCAAGGGCGTGCACCTGGCGAGGGGTGGAGCCAGCTTTGGACCCAGGACTCTCCCTTCCCAGTTATACTTCCCTGACAGGTGACGAGGGGAGACCGAGTACTGAACCTGGAAGGAACCACAGGAGTAACCATTGCAACCAGCCTGGTGGTCGGGGTGAGTGGCAAGGCAGAGGGTGGTGGGGGAGTGGGAGAGCGGTAGCCGCATGCCCAGACAGGACTGACACTAGCTGACTTTGGTGCAAATCCACTGTTCTTTGCTGACATTTATTTATTTGTCCGAGTTGGGTCTTAGTTGTGGCCCGCGGGCTCAGTAGTTACAGCGCATGGGCTTAGTTGCCTCACGGCCTGTGGAATCTCAGTTCCCAGACCAGGCATCGAACCTGTGTCCCCTGCATTAAAAAGCTGATTCTTAACCACTAGACCAGCAGGGAAGTCCCCCACTAGGTCTGTTATTTAATTAAACTTAGATGCATTATATGTTTTGCCCTCATATCCTCCCCAGTGCTGTAATGGGACCACAAGATAGTACCAGAAGTCTTGACAATCTCTTCTCAGTTGGGAAGCTCAGGGTCAGGGGTGGCCAAGAATCTGCCAAGGGTGGAGCCTTGAAACAAGGGCCGCCTGCCCTGCTGGCTTCCTTTCCCCCACATCGGCCCCTCCCAGCCCTCCTCGTCCCAGAAAACAAGCCCACCACTCCGGGGTCTCAGAGAGAACGTGGGCAGGTTCCTGGATCTCCGTCAGCCTCCCTTCGTCAGACCCTGTCATGCCTGAGTGACCCCACAGGCAGCCTCTCTAGGCCTGCTTAGCCTGTCCCTGGCTTCCCCGCTGCCCCTGCAGACCCACAGTCTCTCCTCTCTCTCTGGCTGGCTCATTCCTGCCCGGAGGCCTTTTGCACACCCTGTCTCACTGTTGGAATGCAGCTCCTGCCATCCCCTCTACCCCCAGCCCTGTTTATTCCAGCGTCAGCTCCAACACCCCTGTCAGGAGGCCAGCTTGGCCACCCAGTCTTGAATCTGGTTCCCCATCTCCCTGTTCCCTGCCTTCTTAGGGCGGGGAGGGATGGTTCAGCTCCCTGAGCTGTCTTGCTTGCTTCTGCGTGAGGGCACATGCCAGTTCGCTGCCATGCCCTCAGGGCCCAGCAGGGCCTGACACGAGGAGGCTCTGGGCACCTACCATCATGTGCAAGCCCAGCCTCCCCGGGGCAGCCACTGGGCTGCAAGCAGTACTGGCCGTTGTGGTTTTCTCATTGTCTTACAATGACCTGGAGTCGGTCTCCTGTGACTCTGGGCACTGTCCCCCAGGGCCACTGCCCGGCATCTTGTGACAGTCTGGGTCAGTCTCTCGTGGCCGCAGTGACACTCTGCCACACACACGGAGACCGAACGCCACACAGGCTCAGGATCCTTTGGTTCCGGAGGTCAGATGTCTCAAGTGGGTCTGAGGGCTGGAGAGTCCAGAAGAGAATCCGTTTTCCTTGCCTTTTCCAGCTCCCGAAGGCCATCTGTGTGCTCCTGGCAATGGCCCCTTCTACTGCCTTCAGAGCCAGGGTAGCATCTTCAAATCTTTCTGAGATCTGCCTTCATGTCTCCTTCTCTGACTTCCTGCCTCCCTCCCTCTCTCTCTTTTTCTCCATTTATTTGGTGGCACTGGGTGTCAGCTGTGGCACGCAGGATCTTCTTTGGTATGTGCGGGCTCCTAGTTGCAGCACGTGGGATCAGGTTCCCTGACCAGGGATTGAACCCGGGCCTCCTGCGTTGGGAGCATGAAGTCTTAACCACTGGACTACCAGGAAAGCACCTTTCTCTCTTAAGGACTTGTGATGCCATTGGGGTCATCCTGATACTCCAAGAGAGCTTTTCTTTCCCAAGATCCTTAACTTGATCACACCTGCAGACTTCCTTTTGCCGCATAAGATGACATCCACAGGTCCCCGGGAGTCAGGACAGATGTCTTTAGGGGCCATCATTCCATTTACCACAGCCCTTCAAATATTGGACCAGAGTGGTCCCTATGGGTCCCTTTTCTAGGACCGTTACCCCAAATGTCAGGACAAGAGGGTTCCAGGCCATTTGGTCCCTGCTCACAAGCCTCCCACCCTGGCCCTGCCTGGTGGCACCACTCCCCCGTCTGAGGTTCTGTTACCCAGAATGAAGGAGTGAGTTCCCCTCAATTCCCCCTGCCCAGGCGATAGGGGTGGGGGGCGGCTGGGCAGCCTTCAGAGGGTCGTTTGCAGAGCAGCGGCGCTTGGCCTCAGACAGCAGCAGGCACCCTGCCCTGCCTCCCGCCTGCATCTGTCTGTAGAGTCAGGTGTGAGGCCTATAGGCACACACTGATGCTTGTTCCTTGCACACTCCCAGTTTTGACTCCTGCAGCTGCTGGAACCTTTTGGACCACTGTTTCATCATCCTCGGGGTCACCATCCCCACTCCCTCCCCAGACCTGCCCCTCCACCTCCAGTGGACGGAAAACAGCTCCATCCTCATGGCCAGTGCTGGAAGAGTGAAGCAGTAAATAACTAACAGAGCACTGACTTAACCCACAGTGTAAACTGATCTGAATAAATGGCTGAATGAGTAAATAAACACGGGCTTCCTCGGCGGTGCTAGTGGTAAAGAACCCACCTGCCGGTGCAGGAGACAGAAGAGACTCGGATTCGATCCCTGGGTCGGAAAGATCCCCTGGAGAAGGAAATGGCAACCCACTCCAGTTTTCTTGCCTGGAGACTCCCATGAGCAGAGGAGCCACGGGGTCACAAAGAGTTGGACACAGCTGAAACAGTTTAGCATGCAAGTGAATAAGGGAGGCGGGGAGACCACTGTTCTGGAAGAATTCTGAGCTGTGTATGTATATATCCTCCCCTCTCAACCTCTGCTAACTTCCCTCTTCCACCCCACCTCTTGCCCATGGTGGGCTGGTGCCAAAGCGAAGAGTCCAGAAAGGAGAAAAGGATCACTAGACAGGGGGACGCCTGGCAGACCCCACTTTAACCAAGAAGCCCAGGTTCATCTCCCCTGGAGTGAATCTGTGCCCCCAGGGTCCCCTGGTATAATGTTTGGGGAGGGCCCCCCACCTCTGTGTACCTCCTGGAGCCCCACAACCCAGGCTAATTAATGGTGAGAAAATACTTTGGACAAACCCAAACTGGGGGGCTAGGGGGGTTATCCTGCAGGACGAGAAAGTCCTCAAGCTCATGGATGAGATACAGAGGCAGAAAAGGGAGGTTCGGGGAATAACTCACGAAACTGAAGAAAGCCAGGAGTTCAGCTGTCAGTTATGTTAGAACAAGAGCAGTAAAGGTCTCGCCGCCCGGGTCAGCCCAGGCTCGCTTTGCATGGTCACCCTTCTTGGATCTGTGGACCGTGACACTTGGGGGTCTCAAGAGGCCCCTGCTTCTTTATTTTATCAGGTACTGCAAGTGGCACTGTCCACTGCCCCTAAGTCACCTCCACGCAGGGAGTGGTCCACACGAGGCTCTCCATTCAGAAGAAGGGGCAGCTGGAGCTTGAACCAGCTCTAGCCCTTCCCTGTTGAACGACCCGTCGGCATTTTCCAACATGGCATCTGCCAGCCCGCATATGTGGGGTGGTTCTGCTCCTTTCACGTGGCATCCGGTCTCCCCTTGTGCCTCATTATCTCAGGTTGGGCCCAAGATACTAGATTTTTTTAAGTCCTGCAAGGTACGGGGTATCATCTTTCCCCAGACAGTATTTCCGCTGGCTTTTTCCAGGCTTGAGGGAGCCAGAGACTGGGGCCACCTTCTTCCAAGTTCGAGACTGAAAGTTCTCAGGCTGCCAGACACCAGGCCTCCATCCCTCCAGGCTCTCTGCCTACACCTGCCTTCTACCCCGCGGCCTTCAGTGAGTCCCCACCAGGGACTGGTTACCCAGGGTCTCCATCGCTGACCGCTCTCCCCACCGACTGCTCAGCAGGCCCCTTGGCTGCCTCTTCCAGGCTCACATCTCAGGAACTTGCTGATCTTGGCCTCCGGTGACCCAGCCCCCTCAGATCTCAGGGGTCCCTGCCCTTTGGCTTCAAGTTCTGCGTGGCTTTGAGAGCTGTCTCAGCCGCTGTCTGAGTGCAGCCAAACCCTTACCGCTGCCTTCCCTGCACTACTGTGCGTTAAGGTTAAACAAAATCTTTCGTAAGGGGCACGTGCTCCTCTGGAAGAAGCATTCAGGATGAAATGATACTGAGGTCACCGAGGAGCCAGGCTCTGTGGAGACGGACTCAGCTGCGGCTTTGGAGTCCCATGTCAAGGCCGCAGTCGCTTCCGCTCGTGGTCTGGCCAAGCTGCTCCACATCTCATCCGCAAAGCGGGGACCTAAAGCAATGACTGTGACGGCCGCAGTCTTC